AGTATTAAAATCTAAACACACGATATTTGACGATGAGGAGAAATCCAAACTATTGCAAAAATTACTTCAGAGTAAAAATCCTGATGATTTGCAAGCTGCAAACAGACTGATTAAAACTATGGTGAGAGAGGTGAGCAAAAACTATGTGAAAGACTATGGAACCTCGTAAAATATTTTAACTATCGTCTTACAGGACGAAAGACGGGTACAATTGAACTCGCGTAGGATAATGGAATTAGAATCTGTACATAACAATGCAAAGTTATTATCAGAGATGTTGGACTCGTATAATTGCAATGAAACTAGTAGGGAAGATCTCGAATTGATGAAGGAATTACGTCAAGCCTGTGAACGATTAAAACCAATTGTGCTGAGATTAGCAAACGAAACTCAAGATAACGAAGAGATGCTCGGTAAATATCTTAAAATAATGAAATTTGTTCAAGCAGCCTGAACGAATACAATGATATTACTTTTTTGTCTTACACGAGAGATCGTTTTGCTAAGTAACAAACAGTATCGTTCACAGAGTTTCTTATTGTTCATATTATCGTCGATAAGTTAATTACAGAAATTCTAATTAACTCGTGTAGTCGCAACTTAGAATTTCAAAACTCTGAAACTGAGAGATCGCAGGAAGATCAATTGCGTCATGTTCAAATAATCTGCGTTAGGTGACGTACTTGCCGCAAGCGATGAATTGGGACAGGTGTTTGAAAAATACAATGCAGTCATAGTCCGTGGTGAATGCGTAAAGCCTAAAACGGATTCCAACAGCAGCCCGTATTTGTTAGATTTATCTTCTCCGATAGAGAACGTTCCTCACGAGAGTGGTGGTACAAATACGAGTTACGATGGAACGACAACAAATCATCAATCAGATATGGAAGTTTTAGGGGATATCTTCAGTTCATTAGGAAAATCTGAGAATCTAGAAATGTCTTCTGTTTCTAGCACAAATCTCTTAATACCTGACTCAATGATCATGCAACCGATCAGCGTTTTACCTACAAATAAAAAAGGTCCGTAAATCTAATGTGCCTAACATATATTCTTGCCAAATAGCACTCGAATTTTGAACGGATCAAATGTTTTTTGATAGTGGATTGACTGCTTCCTAGTCATAGTAAACAATTATTAGTATATCGATAAATGAGAAACAACAAAAGGTCAGTAATTTTATTCCATCGCCAGGTGAATCGATCAACACACCTGAAAAGAAAATAGACAGTAAAGCAAGAGCACTGGAGGAATTGAATGAATTAGGAGAGTCCTTGCTTAAGCAAAGTTTATCAGGAACAATATCGAGTGCGCGTTCCAATATAGCAAGGTTAATAAAATGAAATATATAATACACATTAACATTTTACCTTTACGTTTTGTTAACAATAATCTTTTTTCTCTGTTCGTAGTAAGCAAGCTCCAAGTCGTACGTTACACATGGAATCTTTAGTAGACGATTTGCCTATTCTTCCATATGGCGGTTCTTCACACTTTTCTGGCTCGTTAGACATTGGAAATTCGAGGGACATCAAACCAATCAATGTCAACTCCGAACCGCTCGATAGTCCAAGTCTTTTACCTTCTTTATCTCTTCCCATTTCTCCCCATGTAAATGAAAAGTCTTCGACGACGGGAAATACTGTTTGTATAGAACCTGAGATCAAACCATTGACAGACATTAATGTCAGCCTTCAAGATATTAAACCAGGTACTCACCATTTGATCATTTATTTTCTTATCAAAATCGTAAAAATATTATATTTGCCATACACATTAAATACCGTACATTTTTTTTTATTATTTTAGGTATTAATCCACCTATGACCGTTATGGAAGAGAAAAACGATATAACTGTTGTGCTTCATTTTGCTCGGGACAATCCAAGGGAAGACGTATTCGTCGTAGTAATTACGACAATGAGCAAAAATGTAAAACCACTTAGCAATTATTTGTTTCAAGCAGTGGTGCCAAAAGTAAGTATAAAATGGTTATATAAACTTTTATCTTCTCTAATAATTCTGTATATAATACTTAGATATGGCAATTCTTTATATTTTAATTTACAGAAATGTAAATGTAGACTTCAGTCACCTTCTGGAATTGAATTACCAGGTTATAATCCATTTCTTCCCCCACCAGCAATCACTCAAATTATGTTGATTGCCAATCCTAACAAGGTAAATCTACAAATACTTCCGTCTTAAATTTTTAAATTTTCTTGTGTATTTTTTAGCGTGAAATTAATTAAAACAAAAATTATTCCCAGGAAACAGTATCCTTGAAGTTCATGTTAAGTTATACGATGGACGACGAGACTTTCACAGAAATGGGAGAAGTAGAAGCGTTGCCTTTGCTTTGAAAGATATTTTAAAACTGTTACTTAAAGTCATTAAAACGAGTATGCTTAAGAAGCGCATACCGATACTTAAAAGAAAAGACGTTTAATTTTTTAAAACCGGAACATTGAAGTCGTTCCTGACGAACTTATACGTTAACAAATGGTTATTTGTGTTTTTGTTAATCGAATCTTGATTGCGGATAATTTTTCTGTTTATTAACATACTCGAAAACAGAAATAACTGGGTATTTATAAATCGTTTTGTGATCTTTATACACGCTTGAAAATGTGCAAACCTATTTTAAGACTGGAACTTGAACTTAATTAAAATGTAAAAAAACATTGCAATATCGTATGCAATAAAATCGAAATAAAGTGCATTGAGAAATAGAAAGATCTCAACATATTTTCGACGTATAAACATTGGTAAATTATTGAAATAAAATTTAAATAAACCTGTACGAGTAATTCAGGAAACGGAAAGCACTTCGTCACGAAACGCGAGAGCAGTAAGTGCTTTCTGATGGCCTTGATATTCTCGTTCTACGGCTCCCGTTGATACGTTCCATAACCTCGCAACACCATCAGATGAAGCTAGATCAAATAGAATGTTGAAGTTAATCGTACACTAGGTGTAAAAATATGAACGATAATATTTGTTATTACCCGTAAATATGTATTGCGAATCCGCGCTGAACGCTGCATCCCAGACCCATCGTTTCGCCTCGTGCTGAAGTACTTGTACTTCAGAGAAATCTGCCGTTTTCCATACTCGAGCAGTCTGATCGGCGGACGTAGTTACTAAAAGTCTGTACGAGATAGTTTATTAACAAAAGATAAGGATATATTTGACTTAACCTATTTGCTAGATCTTTTATGACCTTGAGTTGCACAAGAGAAAGAGAGTACAATGCTTACGTAGAATCGGGACTGAACTTGCATCGAAGAGCGTAACGTTTATGCGCTGCAAGCTTTTGACGAGGATTGAGCCGCGTAGGCTCTTCCCCAACTCCACCCGTGAGCGTCCAAATGTAACAATGACCTTTGTTATTCACTGCCGCCATGTATGTGCCATCTTGATCGATCGCGATATCTTGTACAGATGCTTCAGCCTCCGGTATCTGTAAATATAAGTAACTGATACATTAGTAGCCATTTTCTAAGCACTACTAAAGTAACTTTGTAGATTTGTACCAGCTGTTCATTATGATCTGAACGTAAATCCCACAAATGTATAATACCGCTTTGATCTCCAACAATAAGTTCTGATTGATTGGGATGTAAGCACACACAATTCACTGGAGCTGGCCCTTGAAATACCCTTTGACAACGAAAGTTGTTTGATCTGTAATTAATAATAATATTATTGTTATTACCATCAGTTAATGTGGTAGAAACAAAACTGTCCACCTGAGATCCCAGATACGAGCTGTACAATCTTCCCCTCCTGTGTACATCCAGTTACCCTCTTCCTATGCATAATAAAATGTATTAATAGCTTCATGATATTGTTTCATTACTGGTAAAAATTTGATACATCATCCATGTCACTCAAGAGAGTAAAAACAATGGATAACACACCTGAAAACCCAATCCTGTAATGTTCTTTGATACTCCTTCGTAATTCATAACTGGATTTGGATTGTCAGAAACTAAGTCGTACATTCTTATATGTTGATATCCAGCAGCAGCTATCCCATATTTTTCTGGTGTAATGTTCAAAGCATTCACTTGCTAAAAAGAAAATGTTAAGTGTCAATTATACAAAAAAAAAGAATGAAACTCAAAATAGACTTATTTATTCAATGTTGACAGAATACCGAATCTGTATGTTCCACTGTACGTTGACAAACTCCTGTGTGAGGCTGCCATACTTTAATAGTATGATCGTAGCCACCTGTCACAAGAATAACCTGTTCGTTACTGTAAGTATTGTCCGCAGTCATTGATGAAAATATAATAATAATTGAATTTTAACCGCAACATTCGCGACTCCTCATATCTAGAAAGGCCACCGCTCACTGGCAACTCTGAGAACTGGTATTAGACTAGTGGCGCTAGCTGTGCAAAAACGCCCAAGTTTGTAGTAAAAAAATACATGATAACCCCATCGATACCTTTTAATTAACCACCGATGGCGCCACTGGTAGTAAGACCAGTATTGAAAAAAATTATTAGGATAAGGAAACACTGTATACAACTAAACACGTAACACTAATGTACAATTTAGCATTGTACATCTTATAACATTAAATGTACTAATGGATCCGCAAGAATCTAAGGCATTTCAATAAAAAAAAAAAGAATCTCAGGCGTATATGTATATACTATATAGCAACAGTGGAAACTTCCATGAAGCATTATTTTAAATTTTAAATTAAATAAATTTTTAATTTTTAAGTATGTATTATATTTTTTGAACCGTTAATGTTTTTATTTTAGTACTATATATATCTAAAAATAATACGAGCAGTATAATTTCCTGATGTATTTTTTTTCATTAAATCATCGCCGTTAAAAATGTAACTTTTGAACTCATGAAATTTTCTTAAAAAACTAATAGACTTATCGTATGACTACCACAAAACATTATTCCGCGAGCTATCGTATACGATAGCAGGATATCAAGCTATACTGTCAAGGAAATAAACCTTTCGTATAAAAGTATAACTAAAAATCGTTTATTTAGATTTACAAGAAATGAAATAAGCCCTAATCCACGTTTAGTAATCACTAACATTGTTTCTTGAAGATTACGATTACAAATAATTTTTTTTTCCGCGTCCGTTTAAAGTGGAGAAAATTTGATCGATTTTTAATTTTGTTGCATGGCAGCACATTGTTATGGTATGCGTATTTTACAATATTGGAACGTTCATCGATTTATATAGAAAATAAGTATTCCGAGAATGTTCATCAATGAGCATGTAATATGTAAATACCTACAGATGTACACATTCACAAAATAAAAAGAAAAAGGACTTTAAATTTAGACATACATTTATGTGAAATGCTACCCTGAAGTGAACAGAAAAGAAATCAAATTAAATATTAGTTTGTTTCGTTACGATTTAATCGCTATCTTGATTTTTTTATCTTGTCAATTCTGGATCCCTTTTTTTTTAGTTTGTATCAGTTTCATATTTTACCTGAAAGTTCTATATAGTAAATTAACGATTAGCGCCGATGTGTTACTGTAGGTATATTGTACCAACGATGACTGCACGTTACTGACTGATGCAATCATTAAAGTAAATGACAAATGAACAATTGGTGAAACCAACAATCAAATTTGACAAAACAGATTTACAGATAAATGATGGTATGTATGTACAATTATATATTGCGCGTGTACATCTACATAAAATTATTTACGATAAATCTAAATGAGGGATGAAATGTTTTGTATGGTTTTTTTTTTTTTAAAAAGAGGTGATATTTACAAATGATTTACAAAATATGTTACAGTCTTTTCTTTGGTAAGGATCCGAAAGCCGATATTACCGTCGCTTTGGTACCAGTCGCGGACGACGTTAAGGTAGTAAGAGTCGGTTGAGACAATAAAACGGTAGGCTTTACGGAGGCAGTGGCTCCCGTTGTCACTTGATCCCATTTACTCTTTCTTTTCTTGGCATCGTCTTCGGTTACACTAGAACTATTGGGTCGCTTGGCTGTGCCTGAGACAATCTCAATTTTCGTTTTTTCTTTCCTAGCTTTTTCAAGTTTATCCATTTCAGCTTTTTGAACCTTGGCGAGTTCCTCGTAATAAGAATCTTTACCCCACTTGAATGGATCAAATCTATCCAGAGGATAATTGGTGCCCAGTTCGTTGATGCTACAAAACTGAATAAGTTTTTCATAAATAGACGGATTTCTAAAATCCTTTCTTTGCTGTATAACTTTATTCATGTCCAAACCGCCACTCTCCATTTTCCTAAAAAGTTTCATTATCTTCTCCTGTAACTCCACAGGACACTGTCCCGCCGGTTCTGGTGGTATAATCACGCCATACGGATCGACCTCGCTATCTGAAACTAATTCTCCTTGACAAGAGGGAGAGTGTTCCATAATCGAGGAAAGCCTTCCATTTTCAGAAGGCTGTCCGTCGACCAGTGTTTGCAACACTCCCTCGTCGTCGGAGACTATTGTGTCATCAAAATACGAAACCAATCTCTGCACCTTAGACGTCACGTCTGTCACTAAGGTGGGCGCATTTGACAAATCGTTACTAGACTTGCCACCGACGCTGGGAACAACGACGGGACTATTTGAGGCTGATCTGCCAGATTTGGGACTGGTGAAAGCCTGGGGCTGACCGACTTGGGCATTATGCGGGGCGGCCCCCTGGGGAGTGTTCAAATTCTCCTGAAGGTCGTCTTCCACCCCGTCTTCGCCCTCCGAGTCGGTATAGGTGGCCGTGAGAGATGCCAGAGCAACACTTTGTACAGACATGGTTAGTTGGCTTTGAGTGTCCGCCGTACTACCAAGCAATATTTTGTGTTGGAACTCACCGGTCTAGCGTAGAGTTGTATGCCTTTTAGTTGTAGGGCTATTATATATGTATATATGCCTTATATATTGATTTTAACTATGCCTCAATGTTTGTTGGAATGTTTACTACTATACCGTATCTGAAACAATACGAATTACAAATATACGATTTCTCATTTATTTTTAATTTAATTCAGAATTTGAACGTACGTTTTATCGACAAATCGATTGTAGCTTTCAATGAATAAGCATCGTGACACAGGCAAGAAATGTACACGAAAGTAAGTAACGAGTATGTCGTGACAGAAATAACCGTTAAAAATACACTAATTTTTACTGAATTCGATTGATAGAGTATAACAGTTACCTGAATCACTCACTTATGTTTCACGAAAGATATTCTACTCGATTTCAAACGTAGTCAAATGACAAGCACTCTAGGTTATGTCGATACTTATCAATACCTGCGTCATCGACATAACTAACCTGACTATTCGTATCCACAATCTTCCAGGTTACACTATACCTGATTTTGTGTTCATTACGATAAACTTACGGGCACATTACTCTCCGATTGATATTTGTTTCTATAATCGAAGACATCTAATCACGTCGAACGCTATCGGCGCATTCTGTGGCCTATTCTGACTTCCTCGTTTTTTTCCTTTATGAACTTCACCAATGACCATGCGCACACTTTATAGCAATGCACAGTATATTACGTTACCATCGAATAATTGGAATGAAGTTATCAAACTTTGAAACTATCGTCGAATTATAAAATAGATGTCATATTTTACGAAAGTTTGAGCTTATATCGCAAAAAACTGCTCATGACCTAGCGTGTTGCCATAAATATGATATAAAATAAACCTAGCATCCGATGGTAGCAAGATTTTTTCTAGTTTTAGACCACTAGATTCTTTAACGACATCTAACGGTACGTGATGAGCTGGAATACGTAGTCTGTGGTAGTCTGATTGATTCGATCTATAAGAAGTGGTTGTGGCATCCACGTGCGAACAACTTGAAGAAACAATCTGTGACACTGACATTTTTAATCATGGTACTGGATTTGGATCTTTTTCGAAATGACAAAGGTTTCGACCCGGAAAAAATACGAGAAAATCAAAAGAAACGTTTCAAAGACTTACAGTTAGTGGATACAGTGATCGAAAAGGATAAAGTTTGGCGTCAGCTGCGACATAAGGCTGACAATTTAAATAAACTGAAAAATGTATGCAGTAAAGAAATCGGAGAGAGAATGAAAAGAAAAGAGCCGGTGGGTAGCGATGATGCAATCCCGAAGGATCTTCTTGAAAATTTAGAAAATTTAGTCTCTGATAACCTGAAATCATTAACGGTTACTCAGATTAAAACTATTCGTGGTTGTATTGATGATGCTATAGAAAAAAATGGCAAAGATTTAATATCAACTGGGTTAGAAAGAAATGGCGCTCTCAAGGAAGTAGGCAATTTTTTACATGACTCTGTACCAATTAGCAATGATGAAGAGGAAAATAAGGTATATAGATGATTACAAAAGACTTTCAATTCATCAACTATCCAAGATATTATTTTTAATTTTAGGTTGAAAGAACTTATGGAGATTGTACAGAAAAGAAGAAATACTCTCATGTTGACTTAATACACATGATTGATGGATTAGATGGGGAACGAGGTACTAATATTTCTGGTGGGCGTGGTTACTTCTTAGTGGGGCCAGCAGTTTTTTTGCAACACGCATTGATACAATTTGCCCTTAGACAATTGTTTGCAAAAGGTTATAAACCTCTTTATGCACCATTTTTTATGCGTAAAGATGTTATGCAGGAAGTAGCACAGTTATCTCAATTTGATGATGAACTTTACAAGGTATAAAATTAATGATTATATGCACAAACGTGTAAACCATTTTACTTAGCAGTTTGTTTGTTCAGGTGATAGGTAAAGGTAGCGAACGTAGCGACGACAAAGAAATAGAAGAAAAATATTTAATTGCAACATCTGAACAACCAATAGCTGCATTTCATCGGAACGAGTGGATTCCTGAAAATGCATTACCAATTAAATATGCTGGACTGTCTACATGTTTCAGACAAGAAGTAGGATCCCACGGGCGCGACACAAGAGGCATTTTTAGAGTTCACCAATTTGAGAAAGTAACTGCAACTGTATTTGTAATAGATTTAAGAAATATAGAATACGAATTTACATTTAGACGCGCATGGGTGATAGGTGGAACAGTTTTGTCTGACATCTCCATTTGATAATAAATCTTGGCTAATGATGGAAGAAATGATTTCAAATGCAGAGGAATTCTACAAAGCTTTGGAGATTCCCTACCGCATAGTGAATATAGTATCGGGTGCCCTAAATAACGCTGCTTCGAAAAAACTAGACTTGGAAGCATGGTTTCCAGGATCGGGTGCCTTTCGTGAACTTGTATCGTGTAGCAATTGCTTAGATTATCAAGCAAGGCGATTATTAGTCAGGTAAAGAAATGCGTTAATATTAACTTGATATTATTTTAAATGAAATTACGTTTTAGGTATGGTCAAACAAAAAAAATGAATGCTAGCACAGAGTATGTTCATATGCTAAATGCAACGATGTGCGCAGTCACTCGCGTCATATGCGCCATCTTGGAAGTGCATCAAACCGATACTGGCATTAAGATACCGAAAGTTTTAGCACAATTCATGCCAACGGAATATGAAGATGAAATTCCATTCGTTAAGCCAGCTCCTATTGAAGAAGTGGAAACAAAGAAAAAAAAGTCAAAGGAGCAGAAAGATATTATCTTAACTTAAAGTAATCGTTTTACGATCAGTTTAAAATAGTGTAATCTTAACGAATTCGATTGGTTAATAAATTGTAACAGTTGAATTCAATTCAATCACAATATCCAATGATCAATTTTTATACTTGTTTAACAGATTTTCTGTAAACATTGCGACTGTTAAATATAGCTGTCTGAATGTTTGTTTTAAACATCTGAATGCATAAAATAACGAGTCTCGATCATCTTAACGGTATAAATATACACGATACATTTCAATACCTATCTTGTCCTATTTGTACAATCACACGATTTATGTACTCAGGTACGTCCTCTTAAGTGTGTAATAAATCAAGTCAAAAGAGCATTATAATTAACATCAATCAAGTATTTTCTTTCAAATGCGACATTTCCAACCTTTTCTTTTCTTCAGCCTTTCTAAGATTATTCAATACAGAACGCTCGAATTCTGCGTCAGACATTTCGTTTTCATTCATCTGAAACACATAATTTATATTCGATATTAAGTTAAATTCGTTTGTGAACATAAACTGGTAATTGCATTAGAGTATTAGTTAAAACCAACCTTGTTTTTTTCCGAGTTATTATGAACTGGATACGACGTTCGTTCCTTAAAACTCACACTGCAATATGTTCTTTCCTTGGGGAAATTAAATTGTTTCGATGTATCCCATAGCTTTTGAAGTTTCAATGGATTTTGAGCGAAACCAATTTCAGTATTTGCAGCTAATTCCTGACAAAAAAAAAATTATTTTATTATTTACTTATTTTTTTCGAAAAGAACGTTTACTTATAACTATTGATCGTTAACATACCGCGTCATTTTTGTTTTGGTATTCAACTAGTGCACTGCCATTTTTTGTGGGTGAAACAATAAGGGCTGCTATATCACCATACTGATAACAAAAATTTATGTGAGCAGAGATATCAGAAAGTGGTTCCTAATTTTATAGTGTTATATAAAAATTTAATAAATATTCTGATTTCATACTTTTGAAAAAATTTGGTATAACTTATCATAGTCATATTCATCATTGTCTAAGTTATTTTTCTTAGATTTCCATTTTATTTTTATTTTATAAGAACCACTGTCAACTTCAGACTCTTTGTAAAATCCTGATTGTTCTGCAATCTTTTTTTTCATAAATGCTATTTCTTCCTCTACTTGTTTTGATCCGGTTTTTCTTAAACGCTCTATTTCAGCCTAAATTTAAAATACATAGAGCCATTAATAGCCATTAAAGAAAAACAATGTGATCAAATTATGAAATATAAGACATACCTGTAATTTATCTTTGTCACTTTTTGTAGAGGATTCTGGATTTAAAGATCTTTTGTAAGCATCCTCTCTTGCTTCTAAGTCCTCCTTTAATTTCTTACGTTTTGCATCAAATTCTTTAGTCCTTAATTTTGCTTGATGTTTGGCATTAAGAACTTTATCATAAGCTGCCTTTTTTTATTAGAATAATATGTTATTAATGATACAAAATTAAAAAGCAAGAATTTATTAAATTTCAATTAGAGATTGCACTTACCCGAGCAGATGCATCCGTAAGGATTTCTAATGCATGTGATAATTCATGAAATAATTCCGCCGCTTTTGGATTATTTGGATTTTTGTCAGGATGACAAGATAAAGCTTTCTTGCGATATGCTTTCTTAATCTAGGATAATATTAAAAATTTAATAAAAAAAAAAACAGTATGATACAAAACGTTGTTATGTAAAGATTGCATACCTCTTGGATCGAGGCTGCTTTTTCAGCACCGATGAATTCGTAAAGATCTCGATCCATTAAAGAATCCATTTCTTTCTTTGTGACAAAATGTGCGGATTTTCAGTTCTCGAAGAGGTTAGGTTCTTGTGTATATTATCGTCGATTTGATTACGTTTCAATGTATATTTTATTTAAAAGAAAATTAATACCAGGACGAGAATCTTCGATCTTCATAATTAAAAATGTATGATCGTACATACGTCACAACTTGTAGCATATATGCCAATATATGTATACTATTTGGTAACACTATTATACTATATGCTGTATATTTCTTAATACCGCTTCACACACTTACACAGCGATGACATGCCCCCTTATCACTGCTTACCACCGTTATCACAAAAAGTTACTATTGATACTGTGTCAATTGATGCATACATAATTGATGAAAGTAAAATGTATGCAAAATATGTAAAATTAAGCATAATCCAAGGATAGGTACACGTACATGTAACAAACGTTCGTGTTACGTAAAGTTTTAGAGTGTAAATAATAAAAAAGTAGTCAACAATTGTCAAAGTATAGAAATTTAAATATTATCAGTAAAAATTTGTTGTTTAATAATGATCGATCGACTTGTTCGCGCACTTGAAAAACGGATATGTTTTAAAAATGTATTACAACAGGTAAGCATGTGGAATAGAGGATCGTAAAAAGTATAATTTAATGAAGTTTAATATTGGTTTGCTTCAACGAATATAGACAAAACGGCGTTATAATAGTACAAACACCAGCATTGGAGCTGGTACTATGACTACTACAAAGGAGCCCTGCTACCTAGGCGTCCAAACTATTTTTACAGACGAACTTAAATTTGTTAATAAAGAAAACTATGATCCTTTACCAATATTTAGGGTTTTAAATTCGTCTAAATGTGTACAGCTACCTAAAGAACACAAGGTTGAACTAATCAATATGTGTATAACATAATTGTTGCTACTTTTGTCAACCTATCGATGTTGTATTTATTTTTCTTTGAAGTTAGATGAACAAACTTTGATTAAGATGTATTATAAAATGCTTACTCTGAGCATAATGGATAAAATCCTCTATGAATCTCAAAGACAAGGACGTATATCGTTTTATATGACTAACACTGGGGAAGAAGCAATACAAATTGGTTCTGCTGCTGCTATTACATTGGAAGATATTATATACGCGCAATACCGTGAAGCTGGTATGTATTTTTTAATTAATTACAATATGTCCTTTTTTTATTAAAAAATTTAGTTTAATATAAAATAATCCTGTAGGTGTTTTGTTGTGGCGTGGTTATCCTATCGCGAAATTTATGAATCAATGTTATGGTAATCACAAAGACAGTGGAAAAGGAAGACAAATGCCTATCCATTATGGGTCAAAAAAATTAAACTTTGTTACCATTTCTTCTCCTTTAACAACTCAATTACCACAAGGTATAGAAATTAGAATATTGTAATATATTAACATAACAATATTTAATTTAAATGTTATTTGCAGCTGTAGGTACAGCATATGCACTCAAACGATCTAAAAAGAAAGCATGTGTTGTATGTTACTTTGGGGAAGGAGCAGCTAGTGAAGGAGACGCTCATGCTGCCTTTAATTTTGCTGCAACTTTGGAATGTCCAATTATTTTTGTGTGGTATGTATTCTATAAATTATACAGTGTACAAAACATGGATATAAAAAAAAATATCAAGTACCAATGAAATGATTAATTTCATTTTAAGTCGAAATAATGGTTATGCCATCTCAACTCCTTCTCTGGAACAACATAAAGGGGATGGGATTGCCGCGAGGGGTCCAGCTTACGGAATACGTACAACTCGCGTAGATGGGAATGATATTCTTGCCATGTATTATGCAACAAAAGCTGCTCACGAATTTGCTATCAATGAAGGAAAACCTATTTTAATCGAAGCTATGAGTTACAGGTGTGAAAACATTCTTTTTATATGTATGAATTCTTCTAAACACATAGTTATATATTTCAGAATTGGCCACCACAGTACTTCTGACGATAGCACTGCATATAGATCAACAGAAGAAATAGCTTCCTGGAATCAGTATACCCCAATAATGAAATTTCGTGATTATTTGGAATCAATAGATCTTTGGTCAGAACAGCAAGAACAAGAATCAAAAGAATCCATAAAAAAATCCATATTAGTTGCATTTGCAGATGCAGAAAAAGAACTTAAACCATGTTGGAAAGAATTATTCACGGATGTGTATTGTACAATGCCAAAACATATACAGTAAGTTTGTTAATTATATTATAATATAATGAAACTTGAAATGTTTATTGATAATATTTCTTTTTTCATTTTAGAAAGCAACTGAGCATCATGGAAAACCATGTTACAGAGTTCCATGAACATTATCCACTACATCTTTTCAAATCAACTTAATAATCCAGAATAACAATAATAACTGCATCAATTATATTTAATTTATTGATGTGAATTCAATAATATTTACCAATCTATGCCAATACTTTGTATTTTTTGTATTCTTTGGTAATAAAATGTTTACACACAACTTATGACAATTTCATACTTTCAGAAATTTCCTTGTATTTTTCAATACGAAATTCTTTTCTAGCTGCATCAAGTAATACATTATGAATCAAATTGTGCTGGAAAATATCATACTGTTCTACTTTAGGATACATGTTTCCTACAATCAAAAGTTTCGTTAGTGTTTCCAGAAGTTTGTAAATATGTATATATAAAATTCCATTAAAAATGTACCTTGTAGTTCTAATACAACTCTAATATATCCATATCCAGGGTATATACCAGGTGCTCTATGAAGTTTTGTATATGCAGACGTATGATCTTGATATCTTGGTACTAGTACTTTAAAAAGTTTATGGATGTACTGTTTCTCGAGTATCCAAAAATCTGCTAGTTTCATTGTTTCTTTGTGTTCAGGTCCATGCTGCAATGCTTCTGATATTAACTGCAAAAGTAAAATATTATAAAGTACAATTTCTATAAAAAGTATAGAACAAATAATACGTACTCGTTCAACATAACCTCTTGTTTCATTAGCCCTATTATAGTTCAATTCGATTCTTTCGTATTTAATTAAAGCGGTCAATGTTTTCTTAATTTTTGTAATTCTTCCTTCCGGGCCATCCGAATTTCTTAATTTTCGTGCTTCTGGAGTAATTTTGTATCTTATCCTAGGAATCAACTTTTCAATTTTGGCTTGATTCATTTTCGATCTATTTCTTATTTTCCGCTACGATTATGTTCAGTAAATATATTTTTTCGACGTGTAAACAACTACATAGGTTTATGTGGAACAATGTTAAACAAAATCTGCTGTTATTATTTATAAAGTGATAAAGTCTCATATGCACATACAGTTGTATGTAAAGTGTTGTCCACCAATTCCACCATGGATAGTGTTATTGTTATCTGATGACTGATGTAACACAGAATAGATATCTGTAATAGAGGTACAAAACCTGTTTCTTTTCATTTTCAAAAATCAACCAAGTTGCAAACTGCAGAATTTGAAAAATTAATGAAAGTAAAATAGATTCGAAATGAAAAAAAAAACTGGAAGGAAAATAAAATTATCAGTGAAATGATCTAATATTAAATCGCTATCGATCGATCCTGATAACGATTTGTGATAGCTTTCATTATTTTATCGTCAAAACTTCGTTATTTATCAACTTTCGATATAAATTTTCCAAAGTATATTTGTACATAGTTAAATTGTTTAGGAATACAAATTTTCGTTTATTTTAATTATAAAGAATCACGATTTATTTAATCGTCAATTTTCATATCATAAATTATTAGAACTATTTGCAACAACGAACTCCTTTTCCTGTCCTTTTATAAACATTACGCGAGTCGCGTAATCCATTGAATAATAGTATTATCCGATAAACGATTAAGTTCATCAACTTCGGTAGAAAATTTTATAATACATAGTACACACCTGGTTCACCTACCTACTCAGTAAATGTTAATTGCGTCGTCTCTTCTGATTTTCCAAATCACATATTCACACAGATCACACAAGTTTATCAACATGTATAGTTATAATATTTACAACAAAATTATTTTTACGAATTTATAAATCAACTAACAACTATATTTATACAGTAACAATATGAATGCCACATTATGGACAACAAATAATGTACCAAAGAATACGTAAGAAATTGATTTACGAGTCGGTGTTATGCATTAACGAGTTTAATCTTCTCTTGAAAGGCATAGGTGTCACAATTATACATCACAATGTAATTTTCTTGGATTGAACTTCTTACCTCGAACGGCGATATCAATATTCGGTTGTACTTATTTTAATATTAAAAACTAGATATGATCGTTCTAAGACCAAAGAGTTAAACCGTAGTATACAGCTTAAATAAAAGATGCCAATTCTACTTTTTTTCCTCGTTCAAAGTATCTCGGTTCAAAATGAAATTAAAACTTATTACGTTTATTTTTAACAGACTTCGGAAAGGAGGAGGTTACTGAATTCGACATGTATATTTTTTTTCTTTTGATTTCTCGCTTGAAATACTGATTGCGTAACAGCTTCTTGTATCCTCGTATTATCATTAAACTTTGAAAAATCGTACCACCCGTACTACATATTGTTTACAAATTGGGCATTCAGACATTTGCTTGCCACAATTGAGACAACATGCTACATGGCCGCATTCTAAAATTACGCATTCCATAGGTTCATCCCAACAAATCTTGCAAAGATTTTCGTCCATTATTTTTACATCTATCAATAAAATGTACATTTATAGTTTATAAATATAATGCTATACTATAATATATAAGTAGTACAAACAAATAAATTTTATATAAGATGAGTTGCATCTTACCATCTTTCGATTGTTTATGTTCTTGCCATAATCTAGAGGCTCTATCCAATAATTCACATCTTTCTATGCAACCTTTGTAATCTACGCGATTTATACTTAATAAATTTTTTAATTGCTTCACAGTTAAATATTCCAAATCCGATAAATCGTTTAAATCTGATAATTTTACATTATCTGGCCACTGTGTGAAACAAAAGGATATATTGTATACATTGTACAATAAGTTGAATCATTATTTCTTACCATAGGAATATTTGTTATCGCGTCGGAATTGTGTGTACTGAAAATGTCTGAAGTGTCATCCACTTCCGAAATTACAGGCTCTGATATCTCCCCTGAAGCAGGAGTACTTTCTGGAACCTCTATAATTTCAGTGGGATCATTTCTCATGCTACTAGTTTCACATTCTTGAGCAGAAGGTTCATGTTCTTGACTGTGCTCTCTAGCAGAAGGTTCATGTGACTGACTACAAAATTCACGAGTCCGTTCATCTTTTTCGTTTGCCATCCGACTGGAAGTAGAACTCCTACTGAAATTACATCAAGATAGAACACTTCTAGTTTCTCTTATAGCTTAAACATTATAATGTAACATGCACTGTCTGTGTTTTGTTTTGTTTCTGAAGATAATCAAAATCAACCAAGTTTGGAAATTTCTATTTATAATATTTTTGCTTACATCCATTATGAGACAAAAATTCAACGTACTTTTCTGCGTTTTTGTAATTGCTAGTACCGTTAGCAAATATTATCACTAATTCTATTAAATCTTCTTTTTCTGAAAGTAAAAGAGTTAAAAAGTATTATTAAAGCCCTACAATAATGGCATGGTAATTATAGATTTTTTCTAGGAAAGAAAACTAGATTGTTAGACATTAGACAGATTACACTATGATGTTGAAAATTCAAAAGAATTTTCATCATTATATACATACCGATACATCCTTTGATGGATACCTTCTTTCCCAAAAGATATTGTCGTAAATCTTTAGATCGCATTTCCATAATTTGACTTCTTATCAGAGGTCTTCGTGACAACAAACTGCAGCTGTCACAACTTAGAATCTTGTTCATCCGTTTGATCACACATTCGGAACAAAAATACCTCAAACAATCCGAACATTGTTTCTGAAAGAGCTACACAATTAGACTGTTTTTACCTTGTTCTTACAATCATTGATCTTACCTTGCGTGTGAAAAAACTGAACTTTGTATTACACGCTTCACAAGCCATCCCGTTTTATGCGAATAACACGATAACACAAACGCTTCTCGTTAGTTCAAAGGTTAGGTTTATACTGACTCATAAAAATACACACCTTACACGTCATACATATTAATACAATTATATATTCTAAATAGAAAAAGCTGAGGAATACTAATTGCAATCGACACGTTTCAATCTGTTCACATTATCTTGCTACTCGACTAATCAGACGTAATGACACTGTAAACTACAACGGAGGGGAATACCCTTCTATAATCAGAGATGGCGCGACTAATAATCAACGGCGAATTTAATTGCAGATCACGAAAAGTAAGCAAAATTCTATATACTTCACTTTGGTAAAAATGAACGACAATTTCGTTTACTTCTGTACGTACGAATGAATCAAATAGATGACTATTTGTATGATTATTTTATTATTATCTATCGGTTGCCGTCAAAGAAGGGTAAATCATTATAGCCACAAATGATTCGAGATTCTTTATCGACTTATACTTATTACTTGTTACAAGACTTGGCAACGCATTGTAAATAAATTTATTATACATAACGCCCTTGGTTTCGCATAGGGACGCGACACACATTGAAAGTTGTCAATGTGATAAGCCTTAGACGGCGGTCCTTATCTAAATAATCTGAACGGCTGAAGGAGATATTATTTTTTCACAGTGGACAAGGCGATGTCGAAGAATAAATTGCTAGAATTAATATGGCGATAGAAAGTCGCACGCACGCGACCCAGGCCGCAACGGGCCACTAAAGCGTAAAACGCGTATTTGGTTCCCTATCAAGTCGAATGCGCAGCTTCTTACTGTTTCGTTCTGAAATTCAAAGTGGCAGGTAAACCGTTAACATCCGAATAATATTCATTTCTGTATAGAAAGTAAATAAAAAGGAATAAGAAGCGCGCCGCGGTCAGTGAACACTTTTCTCCGACTTGTGAAAAGTTGACATAGTTTTTAATGGTACAATTACACCTACATAGACGGGTGCATCGCGTGTTTCGAGTCTCGCGAAGGAAGCTCAGCTTCCTCCCGCGTTCGTTCTGCTGATCCTGTAGGGAAAGCGCGTTCATCCTTCTCGGCTGTTTCGCCAGAAACAGTGTTATCGTGGAAAGCGTCTTCTCTGAAAAAAAAAAAAAAAACGATATCAGCGACAAATTAGATTAACTGAGGCTTTCAGGTGTATAATATCAGTTTCTCCCAAATATATCCTACAAACAGAAGATGTCTGCCTAATGCACAGGGGTGTTACCTTCGTATCCAAAAGTCTGTATCCCCCTGTACTTACGTGTATCTATTCTCAGACGCGCGGAACAGCGACTTTGGACAATCCTTGAAGTAAGGCCAACACTCTCCGTGAAACTTTCCCCTGTTCTCAGCTTCGACGTACTCTTTTAGGAGGTTCGAGAATGGTGACTTGCTGGCGCTGAAAGTAAATCGCGTATCATGATTTCAAAGTCGAAGAAGAAGGCTATAAAATCATCGTAAAGATTTGCTGGATTAACGATGTACCCTCAGAGAGGTCACCGAAGAGTTAACCGGTTGGAAGCTTACGTGAAGAAGAGCTTGAGCATTTCCCCGATGAGACCGAAATTGCTCAAGGGGTGTCCCTGGACCTCGCAGATCGCTCTCAGTAGACACGCCTTTCCGTTTAAACCGAAATTGGCGAGCATGTCTTCAGCGGTGCCGTACAAAAGGGCCCTCTCACCCCCGTAAAAAGCGTTCTTTGGCACGTCCTCGACGGTTTCTCTTTTACTAAGTCCACGTTTCACAAACGCCGCGATAAACTCTGCGGTGGTTGGCCCCTGGTCCCTCGCAGTTGCGTCAAAAGCAGACGGCAAAACGCCGTAAGGGTTCTCGTTGTCGGTAAGACCGAGCTTATCGAAATCGACTGCAACGGGAAGATAGGATGAAGACATCGTGGGAAAAACGGGAATCATATCGGTATCAAGAGCGGCGATTATCGATTTTACCGCACGAACAAGTAAACGGAACTGATCAATAATTACTTAATGATTACTGGACTGCGGATTTCATGCGTTTATGACGTACAAATATAGAATAATCTATAATCTATAGTCTGATATAGAAAACGTAAACAAAATATGCATAATTTATGTTGAACATTGTTATTTCATTTTGCATAAGTGCGCATACCTTTTGGGTTTGTTTAGTAGATGTTTATTATATTAGTTTGCATCATAAATGCTTGAGATCCGCAGTCTAATGATTACTAATGTGTAGGATCAATGTATAATGTATGCTGACGTAGGTGTATTCTAATAAATCCCTTTTATGCCAGAATCATGAATGTTTGTTGCCCTGATATTGCAAATTGGTATTAAATTCAAAGTAGTTGATAACAACTGAGTCTTCCAGGTGTGAGCCATGAAGAATCAGGCTGGAAACCCCCCGAATATCCAAACTCAATTTTATGAATAAAATTTAGAGTACAGTTTTCGGATTACTCACTGGTAAAGGGGAGGCTGATGGTCATGTTGCTAAGGAAACCATGGGGCGGGTATCTGACGAATGGTAGCGCCAACGTCGGAGTTATCGTCATTATCGTCCCTGGAGGTAGAGCTATCCTACCATCGTTGGTTATCCAAAAGAGCCTCTTTTGTCTGTGATGAGAATACCTTGGGTACGTGTTCTCGTCACCGCCACTTTCGACGTCCGACGACTTGAGGAACAGAATCAGTCCAAGTAACGCCACCACGCTCTTCCTCTTCTCCATGGTACCTCTTCTCCGTTAGGAGAAGTCTCAAGGGCAAGGTCGATGCACACCTGCGCGAGGAAACGAATACGTGAGCACTTATCATCGAAAAGAAATTCTCATCGAGATTACAGCTGTATATAACCCCTCGACTCGAAGACGCAAGGTAGGACGTGCGTCTCATCGATTCGACTAGGAAATACAGGACAAAACGAAAGCGGGTTAAACGTGGTTCCACAGACGGGATTGCGAATTAAGAAAATTTCCGTTAGATGTGTGTGTAGGTGTATGGGTGCACAGAGGTAATAGTAGTTATTTGTATCCAGAGAAAAAAAATATCGAATAAACTTTTGATGCGCTACAATCTAAATTATACAATCAAATTACGGGTAACCGTTACTACCATTGCGTAATTTATCGAGTAACTGTTCAATCGAGTAAACGTCGCGAATGAATCGCTGTGCGGAGTTCTTTTTCGTCATCTATTATTCGAATAAAATTCCGGCCGTTTCAAGCTAGGTATCTTTGTATGCGCGGTGCGTAAGGATGACGTGGGGACGTCGTACACGAATCAACGTTAAGAAACGCCACGAAACAGAGGAATGCCCAAAGTATACCTGTAATTAACGAGCCTCATTGTCAGGTATGTCAAACGTACCGTACGAGGGCCGTTTGTCACCGATTCCAGTACATGCACGGTTACTTAGTTAGTCTGCGTTCTCACGTCGTGAACTCGAATGTCGGAGTGCGTCTCCGTTTCGCGTCTACCTTTGTTAACGATTCATATTTTTAATGACATTAATGCATGGTCGATTAGTATGGGAAGATCTTCTTGTTTGCGCCACATTGTGCGCTTCGAAGTATACGCGATAAGAGTATTTCTAACCGCAGACTTTTTATTATTCTAAATCCTTCGCGATTAGGGCACTCTTGATCGCGTCGACAGACAAAAACACGAGGAGAACGAAAAGGTAGGTCACCGGTGCGGGCGTAACGCGGAATACAAATTCTGACCACCATATGTAACTACGTGTAGTCCTGGCGACATTCTTTGATCAACGTCGACACGTGCATCGAAATCAGAATCGAACCGAGACCCACTTGATCGATCGAATCAAGAGCTCGATTTCCGTACATTTATTTCGTCGGAACCGTTAAGCCCTGGCGTAGAATCGGGTCGTGGGCCAAAAGATTATGGTATCTCCGTTGCATCCTTCTTATTTACCGTTTCACCGTTCCTCACCCCCCATCCTACCTTTACCTTCCCTGGTCCACCTGTTCGAATATTTTTCACTTCTCTGATACTCGATTTTCCGATGGCACGTATCGCAGTACACTTTCCACCCTTTCCTGCATTTTTCTGCACGTGCTCTCGACATTCCACTCTCCATTTCTCTAGGTGAACGCGTGCCGCGCATTATGCGCGGGTTTCCTCCCCCTCTGTTCGAAACTCGAGCGATTCAACCCTGGCAGAGTCTTGGGATTCATATTTCTCAGAGCACGTTACCCTGTTTTCCTTGGATTATATTATCCTCGTTAAGGTGGAATTATGCACGCGGTCCAAAGAAAGCGTGGAAATAAAACTTGTGCAATTGAAAGTAACGAGATCGCGAAACAGGCGTAATCGTAGAAACGCGAGATAAAAAAGATATTCCTGACCCAGTGGCTTCCGTGCGTGGAATTAACGGTAGGCATTCGTCGGTACGAGATCTGCTTGTGAAAAAGCGAGCGATTTCGAGAGGCGTCCCGAAATGTCAGATGAAAGGCACGTGCTCCGTATCTCACGTACTTTTTTTTTACGGAAAATTTGACGTGCTTAAGTGACGTTATGAAATCTGGAATAGTTCAGATTTTGTAGAATTCTAGGAGTGGCTTAGTTTTTTCACAGTTCGACCGGTACAGCCCCTTGAAAGTATACTTCGTCAGGTTTCTCTATGCCGATTATTATGATCAAGAGTGCGATAAATTAAAGGAAACGAAGTTGTTTGTAACGAGACGTCACGAAAGGCGACAAATAAAACTTTGAAAACGATGGGGTCGGGGCTGTCGGCCCGAATACCTCAGGAGTCGAACAAGCACAGGTCCAGGACTCGACTTCAAAAACCAGTCGCGAGTCTAACTTGTTTTTACATCTGTGTACGAGGAGATGTTCGACTCGTATAAAATCGTGGTTTCGAAAAGGCAGGAAATGTTGACGACGAAACATTAATTCTCCATATTTAAAAGGAAAAGACACTTAAAACTCACTTAAAACTGAGAATAGAAGAGTTTAGACGGCGGTTTGATTTGAAACAGACAAGAATTGTTTGGTGCCAAGCTCTAACGCGAAGAGTATTTAAAAAATGGGCAGATGCGTGATCGAGGCGTTAAGTTAGAGGAGCTTAATTTTCGAAGAAACTTCCCGAAAGTAAAAGTGTGAACACAGATAGCCGGTCGTCGCGCATGCAAGTACCTTCAAGTTTTTGTAGCGGATGTTTGTTTCGTGGAGACGCTACGCAGGAGAACGGTCGTTGTACTATAACTGGGCTAATTTTGATGCACGCTGATTAACAGGGCTACGGCATAATTGCGCCTAGTGCAGTTTCTTTGCCGTTGCTGGAAAAAAATCACAACAGAAGTCAGATGGTTTTCCTCGACCCTCTTCTTATTCCTTGCGCCAAAGTTAAGTAGCTTTGCTTTTCCAACGTTCACCATGGGCGCGCGTTTGATCGATAGATTGCTGCAACCGTGAAGCGATCGATTGTTCGATTTCTATTTGCAATAAACAAGCGTTAACGTAAATCGTAGTTTGGCACACGAGCATGCGCGCACAAACCGTCACCGTCGGCGAATCTTTGGCCCCGCGTACCGTACACCTAGCAGTGAACACCTCTTCAGCAATCGCAGAAGGCTGACTCTCGGTCTCGAACTGACCGAATAATCCGCTCGACGCGACGTTCCGCGTTTTACGAGCCACGTTATCCTCCGTTACGTTACGTTACCTTCCCACTCGCGCGTATTCGTTTCTTACTCTTGACTTTCAATCCCGCCATTTTAATATGCACCGTCGAAACGCGACCCCCTGGTCTCCTTCCCTTCTATTCCTTCTCGCTTTTCGGGTCCCTCTTAACTCTTTTTTATTCCCTTCTTGTGCTCGTCGAGCTCGGATACTTTCGACTAGCAGATGAAATACAAAATAGTATCGCTTTAGGTATGTTTGTTGAGCTGATTTCTAGGACGTACAGTTTAGTTGTTGCGAATATAGGGAATCCCATTGGTAGATGTAGTCCGAGTGGTAGGGTTCGTGTACCTTCCCTGGCAGGTTGCAACAGATCGCCCGCGGACCTATGGAATATTTTGTATTGTTTGCAAGGATCTAATGTAACAGTATCCTGACAAAAATATTAACGTAACGCCTCGTGTATTCTAATCTGAAGCCCGAAGCTCACCTACCAGTTCGTTGAAATCGTAAGGGGGCGAGAGACACGCTAAAGAATATTGCGTACGTTAATAATAAAATTCACAACGTACTTTATTGTAAATCTGCGAATCGAACAATACAGTATTACTAATTCTAAATTACTCGGAGAACCCACGTGGGCGAGTGGCCGTGCGTAATCCTGACTCAAGTCTATCGAACCAAGGTAATCCATGGATGAATTGGTGGTTAATCGAAACAATCTGGATTCTAAGTTAAGTTTCCGCGTGATCAGAAATTTTCTTCGTTTTCAATAGTCAACAAACGAGAAAAATAAAAAAATCGCTAGGAAACGCACTGCAAAATAAGGTACGGTCCTGGGGGCAAATCGGTGTCAGGACTTTTTGTGACGTTCATACGCGCGCGCGCGGGCAGGCGGGGTTACGTACAATTAACACCGCGTACGAAAGAAAAAAAAAAATGAGACAAAACAATGCGCACTTTTACCGCCGAAAAATAATAACATTATCATGAAACAGAATTACACCCTAGGTTAATACCCGGTGACATTAACGTTACGGTTCAAGCACACCGTTTCTTTTATGGCACCCGATATACGCGTGTGCGGTTCAACTTAAAGAATACTAAATTTTAATCGAACGTTGTATCACTCGTTTCGAATCCAAAGAATAATCTTTCGCAACTAGAACTTCCTCACGGTATTTTTTTGTTCGGCCTTCTGCGTGACTCGAATCGCAACGATTGAATCAAAAACCCATACGCGCGTACACGGATGTATGTATTCAAATACATACAAATACACATACATGCATACATACATACATATATGTATATGTAAAACTTGTGTACACGTATGTTTATACTTGTACGTACACAGGAAGATAGAAAGAAGAAAGAAACTCTAGAACTTAAGGGTGTACCGATAGTCGTTTAAAATGAGCCAAGATTGTCCCAAGGAAATATAAGAGTAGGCGATCGACGATAATTCTATTTTCACCCCTGTACACTATAAACGAAACAATCCTCTTACACTACTGGCACATAAAATCGATACACTGGTTTGGCAGAGTTGGTTTACGGAACTATCTTGCCCTGGGCTGGACATCTTCTACTTATTTTAAGAAATTAATCGAACGGTACGATGCCCCCCCCGATTCTTGGATCCTTCTTTCTATCGCCCTGCATATCGTACGCGCGATCATTCTCATTTTCGTCTTCGCGTAAGCACGACTAGCAGACAAAAAAAAAAAAACTGTACGAGAATTTGTTACTCAATTTGTTTAAACGTTTACACGAAAGGATGCATGCCCTTCAATGTTCGATGAACGGTAGAAAGATGAAACGACACGTGTCTGCTCGTGCTTTTTCTCCCTTCTCGCTCCCCCCCCCCCCCTGTTTCACTCTTATAAACACACACACACACACGCTCCTCCCTCTTCTACTCTGGTAATAAATGCTGATTTGGAGGAATCGTTGTCTGTTTTTTTTTTTCTTTACAGGGGAGTCATTTTCCATTCCTAAACGACGCTTTTTCTCCGATTCGCTTCTGTTCCAATGTCACGATACTCTTTCGCTGAAAAAATCATGCGGCGTACGAAACAGCGTTGTACATAATGCGGTTTCGCTCGCGCATCTAAACCGATACAACTTTTTACATATCTCCTAAAGAAAAAAAAAAAAAAAAAAAAAAAATAAGAGTTTATCAAAACGAGGATGCGAAAGATATGTTTCCATTTTTTTTTTTTAAACTTCGTTTTACCATCCCTATTAAAAAGTTGTTTTTTCCCTGAAGTAGTAAATACGTTAGAAATAATTCGACGAATTCGGCGAATGTTTCGACGTTAATTTTCGTTAAATATTATTATCGGTACGCGTTTAGAACGCCCGAACAAGGCACACTTATTGCTTTTTTTTCCGTTTTAATAACATCGCGCCTCGATATCGATTCGGCGGCACTCGTGTACGCGTCCGTCCATGTTTTCTGTTACCGTTCGTCTCTCCGATAATGTAAACATTAAAAAACGATTTAGGAACTCTGAAGATTCGATGCTTCGATACGAATAATCTTGGTTCACACGTGTGTATTTCGTCTCTGCTTCTCCCCTCCCAAATCTTTGCGCCTGAAGGCAAGAGAACGCGAAATGGATTCGAGAACATGCGCTACACTATGTATAATCGCTCACGGAACAGACGATTACGAACGTACCGGGAAAGATGAAATCGCATAAACAACGACGGCTCTCGATCGTGGCACATATTTTACGTATTTTGTGTGTTAAGTCTTTGTCGTCGTTATTCGCCGTTTTCGTCTTCGTCATCATCATCATCATCATCCTCGTTGTTGTCCACGTTTATTCTTCGCGCGAGCGCGATAGATCGTTTTTCGTAGACTTGCATTTTTTTTTCCGTCGGAGAGAGATCTATCCTTAACCCTAATGCAAATTATTCCCCTAACAGTTTTGTAACGAGGCGGTCTTGGCGACCGCGAGGATTATCGCGATTTAAAAATAAATTTGAATCGTATTTTGTACATCGAAGAACTTTGTTTTGTTTGAACACGGTTTTGAATCTAGCTCGCGCGTCGATGCGTATACGTGCACGGATAATTCACGTTCTATAAACGTGTTGGTAAACACGCGATACACGTTTCGCCGCATCGATTCACGCTCGCATCTACATTCACACTTTCACCACGCGATATACACAACAAGGAACGCGGTAATACACGCTCGATAGGCACAATTTTCCAACACCTTCTGCTTTCTTCGTTTTCCTCTTCGCCTGCATCTTCCACTTCTATCTCACTCTTCGTTTTTTTTTTAATCCCCCTCACCCTACAATCTCCGCTTCTACATCTTTAACGAATGTTCTTTTTGCAAACGCTCGGACACACAACGAACACATTTATTACCTATATTCGTTTTTTTTTCTTTCGACAAAAAGGACTCGTCTATTCGAAATTTATTTAAATGAACTTAATTATCGATAGAGCTAACAGTTAAGTCTTTGGCGTTTGTACCAATGATTTTTCTATTCGCGATCCGTGTTTTACGACGCTGATCCCCAATTAACGAATCTTCTCACAATTCGAACTTGTATAATAACATACGTTTTCAACCGTCAATATGGTTGTATAATATAAATCTATGTATACGTACTTATCATCTATACACGTATCTTTTGATAGGCACGCACGCGCTTATATTTCGCTCGGTGTATATTATTTTTAATGCAACTAACAAGCGGCTTGCGTGTCTCCGTGTTTCATCGTTTGTTATAATAGACAACGATTTCTTCCCTTTTCTTTTCTTAGGGGAGGGGAAGGAATACGATCGACGCGCAATTAACAAACGATCGATCGGTAGTGTTCGACTGGTCAGTAACGTGGCAACCGTTTTTAGGAGGAAAGGGAGAGTGATGCATCGAACGCGTCGAACGGATGAACGAATCTCTTCTCGAGCAGTCTTATTCGTCTAACGTAAATGCGAAGATAAACGCAATCAATGTCGCAATTGCTATCGATCAGTGCGTAATGCCGTAACAGTTAACAACCACGAGGGAAAGAAAAGGTAAAAACAATATACGTAAAGTAACGTAAAGTACTTGTCATTTAGGCCCTGTGCGGCCTTGTAATATAGAAGGAAAGGCACACGCAATCATTAACGTTATACGATACAACGGCTAATCTCGGCAGAAAAGAAAGAACAAAATAATAATAATATTAATAGTAATAGTAGTAATAATAATGATAATAATAATAAAAATAATTAAAAAAAAAAAAACAGAACGCAACGAAATGCTTTCAATGTTCTTTGGCTAGTTCCTGCCTGACAAAATATTATGGTGGAAACGTTCACGGAAACTGATTCGAAGTACATACGTTCATTGTGAATGTTTATGAATAGCGAGGGAATATATGGCAACATATAAAACTTTTTTGAAAGACGTAAGCGATACTTATGAATTCTCAAATATTCTTTTCGGTTCGTATCGATGACACACGTAATCCGTTTCGTCCCTCCTATCCGTTCTCCCTTTCTTCCTCTGTACGTTAATAGAAAAAAAGAGACACGCATCCGTGGCATAGTAATAGTTACGAAGATGGCGATTTCAATATTCCGAATTTACGGGTAACACGGTGCGTAGAATTCGACGAATATATGAAAATTGACATCCGACCGACATCTCCTCTTGTTACACTTGGTTGTTACTTTTCACTTGCGGTAGAAAATTTTGGCACTCGTTTCACCGTCGATTTCGTGCGTTTTCTTTATTCACGACGCATCGACGGAAGCACATAAAAAGCAAAACAAAACGAAACCGTTTTGTTGTTGGTCCGGTGCGTCGTTTCATGTGTAGGATTCGTGCGCGAGTAGTGTACGTACTCTTCGATACGTTTAATTTGATCGAAACCTGCACTTCAGTCTCTTGAAAAATAACTCCCGGGAACCTTCTGCACCTTTAAAACTCGTTTCCCGTTTGGTAAGAACTTGTGCCTTGAAAAAACGCGGTTTAAATACTGAAAGTTCAAACTATCTTTGAAAATGTTGAACGCGCGTATTAGAAACATCGCACTCGCGGTGAACATGAACCACGTACGTGTGTGCGTACGATAAAAAAAAAAAAAAAAGAGTCCACAACATTTCGAGAACATTGTCATCATATATATAAGTTGAGAAAACGTTTGGTTATTTTT